ACGATAAATAGTCGAATACATCTTCAAAACAATCGACGGTCAACTTTAGAATATCGGCTGACTGATTTTGATTCGAAACAATGGTGCCGACTCTGATTCCATTTCCAGCGTTTACGTTGTTTGATCCATTTCTTGCGGCATTTGGTTCAACAATTTCGCTCAATTGACTCGCACCTACAGAATAGATTGGATGAATTAAAATTCGGTGCTTTTTCTTGCTGTAATTAAATCGTTTTTCTTATTGGGTGCACTAGGAATATATAAGTTACCTTCAACGGTGACGTCAGTGTCTATTTCTAGGTCTATTTTTGTTGATAATGATTCAGCTTGATCCAATGAATGATTCACAATTTTACGTTCGTTCCATTTTCTGTTCTCCATCCTGTTTGCGATGTTATGTACACATGGGAATTTGCTCGGAAGATCTTCTCTCTACCGTTAATAATTATGGTTTACTAAAACATAGATTTAATGTTGTTTTTAAGCAGGATATTTTTGTAATAAGCAGGAGAACCGCATTGATCGAACAATTTTTCTTGTTCTTTGTTTTTTTTATATTTATGACCTTACTTCTTGAGATGCAAAATACGACTGATTTAAATGGTAAATTCCACTTGCAAACGTAATTAGTAAAAGAGAAAAGGTATCAGAGGATGTTGTTGGTTGTTTAATTTGAACTTTACTCTCACTTTAGTGTCATACGGCTCGATCCAATAGCCGAAACCGCATCCTTACAAGCAAACGGGATTAACAACTTTGTTACCTGCTGCAAATAACTCAATGCCACCAGTTCAATGACAACGGCGTTTGTCTTCAAGTTGAAAAAAAATTCACCAATAGATTTCCCTATCGGTTTGCGTGAGAAAATGTAAACAAGGTGTGTAACGACGACAATCATAAACAGAATAAAACGGTTCAATTCCAAATACTGGATTTCTTTTGGTGGCTTTTATTTAAAAATAGAAATTAAAAAAAAAACAAACGGTTGCAATAAATGATGCCAATGCAAGGTAAATGTATAATGGAATTTCCTTATGAAAATCGGTTCGTGTTTTACAAAAAAGGTGCTTTCCCACATCCTGGTAAGTGTTCATCTCTTCAGTGAATTACTTTCGGCACAACGTGATTGATTGGGTTACTTTGTTCGTTTTTTCATAATTTTCATAAACAGGACCATAACTGCAACGATTCAAAAATGATTATGTGTCAAAAAATGTCTCGGTACGGAATACTTTGTATTTTAAAAACTCACATATAAAAATAACCATAACTAATCCGATCATAATCCACATCCAACATTTCCACGCTCTCTTCGAATGCTCTTTGAGTACTGTGCCTTCTTTGGCATTTTGTATGGGAGGTACCCGTTAATCGATTCTGATTGGCTTCAAACTTTCTGAGGTTTCATTTTTTGGAGAAAAAATAAGATTCTGAAAGTTTCATGTTGATCGCATTTGCAGAAGTTTGGTTTTTGTCCCTTAATTTTTTTCCAAACAAATGTCGACAAAAATTGAGGACAAAAACTCAAACTTCTGCAAACGATCAACATGAAACTTTCAGAATCTTATTTTTTCTCCAAAAAATGAAACCTCAGAAAGTTTGAAGTCAATAGGAATCGATTAAAGGGTACCTCTCATACAAAATTGTCGAAGTTTTAGTTAAAGTGACCGATTTTTCACTTTATTTTTATTATTATATTTTCGCTGCCTTTATTTCAAGAAAATTCACAAAAAATAACCAAAAGTACCTACGGACAACGCAGGCCAACGGTACGGAAAAGTTCGGGATTACCAATGTAATTCTTTTTATGTCAATACAGAGATATGTTGCTATTCCATAAAATGTTACCGCCAAAAGCGTGATGAATTACGGAAGATTCTAATTAAGCCGAAATCAAACAATGAAATATAGATATGTAATATCCACTGGATAGTTGGAATATCAGTTATTTCGTTGCGTCGGCAACAGCGGCAGCCGCACTCGTTCGAACGAAGTGTGTGCGCATACACATCGTCGTTAAATTACTAACACAAATGAATAGTTCAGCGATGGACTGTACGTGTATATATTCCGACGAAGCAAGGAGAAAAGGCGATAAAGCGCGCGTACACGTACAGTCCATCGCTGAACTATTCATTTGTGTTAGTAATTAAACGACGATGTGTATGCGCACACACTTCGTTCGAACGAGTGCGCCTGCCGCTGTTGCCGACGCAACGAAATAACTGATATTCCAACTATCCAGTGGATATTACATATCTATATTTCATTGTTTGGCCGAAATCCGTCTTCTTGTATGCCCATTTTGTCGCCAAATAAGCTTCTTTATCGACGTACAACTTCATTTTCTTTGCATTTGCCAATTTCTCACGCATCCTTTTCAGCGCTGGCAAATCAATAATTTTGGTAGTTTCGTTGAAGTAATCTCCTCTTTCGAAGAAAAAACGGTTGTTACGGTTGTAATGTAAATTGTTTCTATGTTGGCTGCTCGACTAAAGAGTGGTGCAATTCGATCAAAACTGACTTTACCAAATCCAATCTATTTAAGTTTGGTGAGATTATTTGCAGAAGCTTCCATGTCATTGAATAGAAAACCATATGCTCAATATGAAGCTCTCCAAGGTTTTCCAAATCGGGAAAGTTGAATTCTTTGACAATAAATCGCAGTTCAAGGAATACATAAAGTAGATTTAGAATTGTCAACGCTTCTTGCCTCGCTGTACTCGAAAAGTTCAATTGCAATCTTTTGAACACTCTGCGCCTCTGGAATTTTTTCAGACGGATGCATAAGCAAATATAATTGTATTCATCAGTACACCATTGGTTTTTCCCAAGTATATCAATCTCCAAGACGTCCAAAGAAACTTTAGTGGTCATCATCGAATATTGATTTACCGAAAGACATTCCACGTTGATTGTAAATTTGCGTGTGTTTGAATTACGCTCCAAGAAAGTCGTTAAACCCTCACAGGTGTTGGATAACATCCACTCTAGATGTTCCGAATTTGGATATTTCTGATTCATCCAATCGGTCCCGACACATATGCTTTCTATTCTTAACAGCTTCAGGTTTGGACAGTGAGCGAGCAAGTTTTCGTGGAAATTTCCATTGAAAATCCCTCCATATATTCTCAAGATTTCAACCTTTCTCAAAGTCGCCTTCATGCGCTCGATCTTAGTTTCAGTGAATGTAAAATTATGAAATATAATTTTTGTGACCCGATGTAGTCTCGGCTGAACATCAAGAAAGTATTGGAAGTCACGATCCGATTCCAAATGAAATTCATCGGCAAATTCAGCCAAATGATGAAAGTGATTTGGATTTGGATTTTGACTATTTACGGTAAGATTTTGTAATGCTTGATAATTTTGCCGTAGTATATAACAAACCACTTGTTTCAGTTGTTTGCATGTCTCACTGAGAGAAATCAAATCACAATGTGACAAATAGTCGAATACATCTTCAAAACAATCGACGGTCAACTTTAGAAATCTGCCGACTGATTTCGATTCGAAACAATGGCGCCGGCTTCAATTTCATTTCCAGATCCATTTCTTGCGGCACTTGGTTCAACGAATTCTCGCAATTGATTTGTACCTACAGAATGAATAAGATGAATAAAAAAATCGGTGATAATTAGAACATTTTTCGGTCTGTAAACTCTACTTTCCAATTATACTGAAAATATATAAGTTACCTTCAACGTTGACGTTGGTGTCAATTTTCGATGATGATGTTTCAGCCTGATCCAATGAATGTTCCTCAATTTTACGTTCGTTCCATTTTCCGTTCTCCATCCTGTGCGATATTATGTACACATATGAATATTATTGTTCAATTTTTTGCCCGGAAGACCTCTTTCTCTACCGGTAATAATTGTGGTTTATTTTATTTAATGTTGTTTTGCAGGATATTTTTGTTGATATTTGATCAAACGCTTTTCTTGTTCTTTGTTTTTTTTCGAATTTATGACCTTACTTCTTGAGATATAAAATGCGACTGATGCGAAGAGAAAATTCCACTTGCTAACGTGAGAAAAGGTATCACATGATGTCGTTGGCTGTTTAATTTGAACTTAACACTCGACTTAGTCTCATACGGCTCGATCCAATAGCCGAAACCGCATCCCAACAGGTAAACGGGATTGAAAATTGTGTTACCTACCGCAGTATAATGCCTACTGTTGGTATGGTTCTAACACTTTTTAAGTATAGAAAAATCAATCTTTAGCATTAAATGAACCTTTTATTTTATACACATACTACAAACTTACTTCGGTTCGTAAGTTCGCCAAATCTTGTTTACATCTGGAATTGTGATAATGAATGTATTACGGTTTAACTGCAGAATAATTGATTATGAAACATAAAACTACAGAATAATTCAAGTGTTCAATCTTTATTCTTTCCTAATAATCTGTCCTAGCAATGTTCTGTTCTGTAAATGTATGTTATAATTTCGAAAGAATTGAATGTGAGATACTAAATTGTATTGAAATTGTACATTTCATACAGAAGAGGGCCAAAGAGGGCAAGCTTGCAAATCATAGAGGAGAGTAAATTCATTTTTCGACAGATGGGAGTGGGTTGAAGTAAAACAAAATATGATGAACAACGAAACATTCTGATTAAACCGAAATCCGTCTTCTTGTATGTCCATTTTGTCGCCAGATAAGCTTCTTCATTGACATACAACTTGATTTTCTTTGCATTTGCCAATTTCTCACGCATCTTTTTCAGCGCTGGCAAATTAATAATTTTGGTGGTTTCGTTGAAGTAATCTCCTGCTTGAGGTTCGACAATGTAAACTGTTTTTAGGTTAGCTGCTCGACTGATTAGTGGTAAAATATGATCAAAACTTGCATAACAAAATCCAATCCGCTCAAGTTTTGTAAGATACTTTGCAGAATCTCCCATGTCTGCGATTTCAAAACTATCTCTAATTACAAACTCTTCAAGATTTTCCAAGAAAGAAAAGTTGTATCCGTGTGTAGGAAAGTTCTTAGGAAGGAAGGATCTCAATGTAAGGGGTACATCTAGTAAACCAAAGACTTTCACCTGTCCTCGTGACGGTTTATCCATAAAGTTCACTTGCAATCGTTTATACACTCTACGTCTCTGGAGTTTCCACAGAATACTAAACAAAATATAGTGGAAGTCTATCTGACTTATATAGTTGTAGTCCATATAGCCGTAGGTAATCTCCAATACGTCCAAAGAAACATAAGAGGTCATCATCGAATGTCGATTGGTCCAGAGACATTCCGCGTTGATTGTAAATTTGCGTATGTTTGAATTAAGCTCCAAGAAAGTCGTTAAACCCTCACAGGTTTTGGATAACATCCACTCTAGATGTTCCAAATTTGGATATTTCTGATTCATCCAATCGGTCCCGACTCTTATGCTTTGTATTCTTAACAGCTTCAGGTTTGGACAGTGAGCGAGCAAATTGTCGTGGAAACTTCCATTGAAAATCCCTCCATATATTTCCAAGATTTCAACCTTTCTCAAAGTCTCCTTCATGCGCTCGATCTTAGTTTCAGTGAATGTAAATTTCAGAAATATAATTTTTGTGACCCGATGTAGTCTCGGCTGAACATCAAGAAAGTATTGAAAATCACGGTCTGATTCCAATTGAATGTGACCGATGAATTCAGCTAAATAATCCGATCGAATCAGATTTGGATTGTATCTTATGGAGAAAAAATTACATGTTTGATAATTTTGCCGAAGTATATAACCAACCACTTGTTTCAGTTGTTTGCATGTCTTACTGAGAGAAATCAAATCATAATACGATAAATAGTCGAATACATCTTCAAAACAATCGACGGTCAACTTTAGAATATCGGCTGACTGATTTTGATTCGAAACAATGGTGCCGACTCTGATT